CTTGGATATCACAAAGTATTTCTCAACATGGCTTCAAAAATAGCATAACCAGACACCTAAAACAAGATGGAGCAGAGTTCCACACTCACACTGTGCCTACAGACCGATACTCAATGAGAGTCAAGGAGGTCTATCAGATGAAGACCACGGGGCAGGACAACCCGCTGTACCTAGTGGTGACTAGCTCGGATTGGACGCTTTCAAAAATCCGAGCAGCAGTTCTTACAGTAATTCCATCCACGGTACAGTGGGAGGATAGGAAGAATAGGAAAGATGTATCCCAATGCATCAAGTGTCAGGCCTGGGGACACACGATGACTGGGCGCAACAGGGCGAAAAGGTGCTCTAAGTGCGCACAAGGACACATGACGGCCGACTGCCCAAACAGATACAAGCAGTCGGTCTGTGCGAATTGCAATGGCGCACACCGGGCAATGTCCACTAACGGCCACCTAAGCCTGTCTACGTTCCTGCCCCGCCCCCCAGAACCGACCCTGGGACCGAAGAGCGGTTCAGGCACCCATCAGGCAACCCCAACGCCAACCACTACCCCAAACACAGAGGCAGCCACCAAGATTTGAATACGAGAGGGACTTCCCACGTGGTCCTATGCGTGAACGTGACCGCGAAGTGCGCGATATAGTGGTTGAAGTGCGCGAAAACCGCGAATTATTGACAGCTTGTACTGACAACCAGACCCCTTCCAATCTGATTAAAACGTTCTCGACGTTTCAATCCAAATTTGCCCGCCTTGAAGCGCTGGTGAATATGGACGGCATGATGCGGGCATTGGACTGCTACATCGGCATGCTCGAGAGGTGCAATGACGACGCAGACTTGTTCAATGCAAGCCGCAAGTTTTTTTACACAGAAATCAATAAATTCAAGATGAATCGCGTTCAGGGTCGTCCAGTGGAACGCTAATAGCCTCAACGGCAAAATAGGTGAGCTCATTCACTTTCTTCATCACGAGAGGATCGATATCGCTCTAGTCGTGGAAACATGGCTGAGGGATGGAGATCGTCTCGTGGTGAAAAACTTCTCCGTCGAACGCTCTGACAGAGAGGGCCGCCGTGCTGGTGGTGTGGCGATATTGATCAGGAACCCAATCGCATACAAGCGTATGCCTCAGTTGCGAAGTGCCGTCGAGCACATGTACATCAAGCTTGCGAACGGCGTCCTGATCAATGGATGTTACAACGCCCCGCAGACCCGCCTGTCAGTAGCTAACCTAACTCCATTCTTCCCACAAAACACTCGTTCTCTGTTGCTTGGAAACTTGAACGCCAGACAAATACTTTGGCGGATTCATAGAGGAAATACCAGCGGTATGATCCTGAATGATTTCGTCAACGACAGACCGGAGTTGATAGTCATCAGTACTGAATCGCCCACTCATTATCCTAGCAATAACATGACCCCTACCTACATTGACATTGCCATCAGCAAAGGACTTGCCCTGAGCTCGGACCATCTACCCGCCTTTTTCACCTGAGGCAAACTTGATCCTCCCCGCCCACAAGTTCGCCTAAGTTATGAAACTTCAACTAGCCCCTGTTTCGGCAGACACTCAACGCCTTAACCCAAGTTCCTATTCAAATTAACACCATAGACGCTCTAGAGCAAGAGGTCTCAACCTTGACCAGGAACGTCCAGCGAACTTAAACATCCCTCGCCACTAGGGTGACTGTTCGTCATAGCCGCGACGAGCTCTCTCGGGAGCTTATTGAACTCAACGCGCTAAAGAATCGTACCCGGAGGAGATGGCAACGCCTCCGAAGGGACGATGATCGCCAACGTGTTCGGGAACTCGAGGGTGCCATCAAAGATGGCCTCACCGTGTTTTTCAAGGGTTCAACAGGCGCATGAACACTACTCTTTTGCTCCTAGATATGAAGCGCGCCTTCGATAGGGTCTGGCACTCAGGCCTTATCTACAAACTTCTCGCAACATTCAACTTCCCATTACACATCATCTCCCTGATACAGTCATTTATCAGCGGCTGCACTTTCTGCGTCAAACAAGATGACGCCCTCCCAAACTCCAAACCCATTCAGGCCGGAATGCCGCAGGGGTCGGCACTCAGTCCGTTGCTGTACTCACTGTACACTGCGGATATTCCAAAATTCCAGAATACAAAACTGGCACTGTACGCTGATGACACCGCTGTTTACGCACAATCCTTCTACACTCAAGAAACAAAATTTCAACTAGCCCATCACCTTTTTATCCTTCAACCTTATTACGATAAGTGGAAGCTTGGTGTTAATGGCCAAAAAACGGAACTCATATGTTTCCACAAGAAACACACCAATAGCACCATGCCCACCCCACTTATCGTGAATAACATCCCTGTCACTCAGTCCCCGAAGGCCAAATACCTAGGATTCCTATTTAATCAGAGAATGAAATTCCATCCACGTTTCCCATGCCTTGGCACGCAAAAACTCTATCCTCTCATCGGTCCCAATTCATCCTTATCACCCGAAAACAAACTCCGCATGTACAAGCAGGTCCTGAAACCTATGATAACATATGGGGCCTCTGTCTGGAACATAATCTCCAGAACCCAAAGGAACCGCCTCCAGCGGTTCCAAAGCCGCATTCTGCGGGGAGTCCTGTCAGAGTCCAGGTAGGCCAGGATAAGGGACATGCATGCGCAAGCATGCATTCCCTATATATCTGACTACCTGGACGAAATCAGCGACAAATTCTATAGGAATCAAACCAACGGCTCTCCCCTCACTCGCAACCTCGCGACAAGATATGATCCAAACAACCCCTTAGTTCACGGCCCTCCATACAAAAATTTACCAGTCTATTTTGAACCCCCTTAAACCTTGGTAAATTTTTGCAATCCCTCCAACCCTCATTCTCTCACATCCCATACAAACTTCTTCACTTGCCCCAAAACCATTACCTAATGACCCTTCAGGGCAGAGGATTGGTCGTGGTGCAGGGTTGATGGCCTCATTCAATCCAAACCCGCGCTCACACGCACATAACCTAGAGCTCACACATTAGTTGATGAGACCACGTCCAGTGGTCCACACTGCCCCACGGGGCACGACTTTGAGGCAATGCTGAAGATGCGGTTTCGAATCCCGCCCAAGACCAAAATTTTTATTCCTCCAATTTTCCTTTACTTTCTCTTCATTTTCGATTATTATCATTTATATTTTAGATTTGACTTATAATTTTCGATTTTATTACACTTACGTTATATAAAATCTCTACTTAAAAGGGGAGGTGTTGTGAACCAGTAAATTCATCATTTTATCATTAATAACAATTATGTTCATCACATTTCCTCTCTTTAAGAAATTCCACCATCTGCTTGGTTTAGTCCCTCATCAATTATTAGGTAAGTACTTTATTTGATTATTTAGGTTTTAAAGATGTGCCGGCTAGAATTATTTTCACAACCAATATCCTGCAAACATCAATATCCAAACAAGATGTTTCCAATTGTCGGTACCCGGTACGTCTATTGCAGGAGCCCAAATTATTGTAAAAAACATATAAATAAATATAACCCATGAAGGGTGTCCTTGCCGCCAAAGACAGTACTTTTTCCTAATTTTATTATTCCAGATGGTGAGAATTGCCCTTGTCCTTTAGGTTACTTTTAGTTTTTAGAATTAGAGTAAGGGAGTCGCATTTTAACATCGTTAGCGAACGGTCGGGTTGTAACAGTCGCTTTGTAAAATCAGTGTCGTACAGAGTTGAAATAAACTACACTTTCAAGTTATTGCGAGTTTTACTTTCACTTTTTACCGGATAACAGGTTGACTGCCGACCCTATTTTTGAGGCTTCCTCGGACGCCGTAAAGTTTTATTCGTTTTGTTTGGTATCCATGTTGAGTGACTCCAAAAATGGAAAAACGCATAACCAACTGAAACACGTGCTGGACAAATGTATTTAGAAGGACGACGGAGCGGCTGCGACATTCTCTCGCCAACGCCTACTGAATATTTTAGACTAACAAACTAGGATACACAACACTCCGATCGGAGTAGTTGGCGTAGTTGGCATAGCCGATTGATGCCAGTAACTCCGATCAGAGTGGTCGACAGTCAACCTGATAATAGATACAAGGCCTAGAAATAACACGAGATTGCTACATTGGAGCCAGCGGAAAACTCCGGGTTCCTAACATTGGGATCCCATCAGAACAGGGTCAAAATGGACACAGATACAAACCTTTTTTTTGAGTGATTTCGAATATAAAATATTGGGAATCATAACTAAGCATGTTTTTGCCTTATGCTTTAATTTCATTACGAAAAAAAAAAAAAAAACAAAATGAACTTTTTATTCATGAGATAAGTACCTGAATAGACATTTGAAGGACAAAGCTAGACATTCCGAATACACGTAAAAAAGCTTGCTATGACTTGTCGAGTTGGAGGGTTTCAGCGTATACCGATTATAATCCCAAAACCAAGTTATTGGTGACCCATAGAAAGTTTTCTGGGGAAAAATTGTTTTTTTGAAAAAATCATAGAAAAGGCAATATTCTTGAAATAAGTTAGGAGAATTCAAAGAAGATCTCTGAAAAAAAGTCGCGGGGCCGCAAGATATTCCTGCAAAATTAGATTTCGGGTCATCGCTGACCAACTTTCGGTAAGGCGAGGGTTAAAAAAAGTTATTACAAAAAATTGCTTGTCCCGTTTTTTTTGGCGAGCAGTTTATAAAGCATTGGCGAGCAGTTTATAAAGCATTGGCGAGCAGTTTATAAAGCATTGGCGTGTTGTTTTTTTTCAAATATTGTCTGGTAATTTCCCCCTGTGACGCCACTGCAATAAGTTAGATAATTGAATAAGATTTCATCAACCAAGCTTAGTTAGTTTTAAGAAAATTATAAAATGTGTATGTAAGACATCAAAAATATTTGGGATAAGATGTAATATACCTACTAATTCTAGAATACCTACATTTAAACTATCTACATACCTACCTACTTATTATATAAGTAATGTTCTTTATTTTGTTTCAGGTTATCTGCTGAGTATTAGATCTGAGCAAACGGAGTGGGTTAAAAAAGAAATTTCTCCAGATATCCTGCAGTATATAGTAGAGAATTTGAAATGTGGATCTCTTTATTATATCCATGTTGCCGCACATAATAAAGCGGGCACAGGAGTATCGAGTCCTATTGTTAGTATTCGAACTAAAGGTAAATTACCAACTAATATTATACAAGATTTTTTTTGCAGGGTATCAAGGCTTAATCGGGCTGACAACTTATTTGTTTTTCTCAAAGTTTTTTAAAATCATGAATAATTTTTTTTATCATCCCTCACTTAGAACATTGTGACATAAACTATCAGTCGCTGCCTAATTTATTCACAAAAATAAACCGTTTTCAAAAAAGTATTTACTATTCAATTCAAATTCAATTGCAAAATTTCCATAGTAATCCATTCAATTGTAAGATTTTTCTGGAAGATACCTTTCTAAACATATTCGCTTAGGAGCAAGGAGTCGCCTATTTTGAGATATTATGAGCTCCGAATTTCACCTAATCATTGAGTTTTCACATACATAACATATTTTGCTTATCATCAATAAAATAGGTACAAATTTCCCTTAATAAAATAACATGGTATGTTGATAAATATTTTAAGCAGTCTCAATAAAACGTTATTATAGCTGCGTCAAGTTAGCCCCCCCACATTTGAATTTTCTAAAAAAATTGCAACCACCTACTGTGCTCGAAGTGTGCTTTACTGTGCCGATGATATTTTGAACTGTGCCGTTTCGATAACAAAGTTATAGGAAACAAATAGATGAGGGGCTAACTTGACGCTCAGCCCCCCCAAAAATTTTGAAAATCAGATTAAACGAAATTGAAATCTTATCCATTCTGAACTGTGCTGAACTGTGCTGTATCAGGGTTTTCTCAAAATTTCTATGTTCGGTCATTTTCCGACAAAATCCTACTGGGGGGCTAACTTGTCGCTCAGCCCCCCCAAAATTTTGGAAACCAGATTGAACAAAATTGAATTCTTATCAACTCTGAAGTGTGCTGAACTGTGCTGTATCAGGTTTTTCTCAAAATTTCTATATTCAATCATTTTCCGACAAAATCTTACGGGGGGGCTAACTTGACGCTCAGCCCCCCCAAAATTTTGAAAATCAGATTAAACGAAATTGAATTCTTATCCCTTCTGAACTGTGCTGAACGGTGCTGTATCAGGTTTTTCTCAAAATTTCTATATTCGGTCATTTTCCGACAAAATCCTACTGGGGGGCTAACTTGACGCTCAGCCCCCCCAAAATTTTGGAAATCAGATTGAACAAAATTGGATTCTTATCCATTCTGAAGTGTGCTGAACTGTGCTGTATCAGGTTTTTCTCAAAATTTCCATACTCGGTAATTTTCCGACAAAAACCTACTGGGGGGCTAACTTGACGCTCAGCCCCCCCAAAATTTTGGAAATCAGATTAAACAAAATTGAATTCTTATCTAATCTGAAGTGTGGTGATCTGTGCTGTATCAGGTTTTTCTCAAAATTTCTATATTCAATCATTTTCCGACAAAATCCTACTGGGGGGCTAACTTGACGCTCAGCCCCCCCAAAATTTTGGAAATCAGATCAAACAAAATTGAATTCTTATCTAATCTGAAGTGTGCTGAACTGTGCTGTATCAGGTTTTTCTCAAAATTTCTATATTCAATCATTTTCCGAAAAAATCCTACTGGGGGGCTAACTTGACGCTCAGCCCCCCCAAAATTTTGGATATCAGATTAAACAAAATTGAATTCTTATCCATTCTGAAGTGTGCTGAACTGTGCTGTATCAGGTTTTTCTCAAAATTTCTATATTCAATCATTTTCCGACAAAATCCTACTGGGGGGCTAACTTGACGCTCAGCCCCCCCGAAATTTTGGAAATCAGATTGAACAAAATTGAATTCTTATCCATTCTGAAGTGTGCTGAACTGTGCTGTATCAGATTTTTCTCAAAATTTCTATATTCGGTCATTTTCCGATAAAATCCTACTGGGGGGCTAACTTGACGCTCAGCCTCCCCAAAATTTTGGAAATCAGATTAAACAAAATTGAATTCTTATCTAATCTGAAGTGTGCTGAACTGTGCTGTATCAGGTTTTCCTCAAAATTTCCATATTCGGTCATTTTCCGACAAAATCCTACTGGAGGGCTAACTTGACGCTCAGCCCCCCCGAAATTTTGGAAATCAGATTAAACAAAATTGAATTCTTATCCATTTTGAAGTGTGCTGAACTGTGCTGTATCAGATTGTTCTCAAAATTTCTATATTCGGTCATTTTCCGACAAAATCCTACTGGGGGGTTAACTTACGCTCAGTCCCCTCAAAATTTTGGAAATCAGATTAAACAAAATTGAATTCTTATTCATTCTGAAATGTGCTGAACTATGCTGTATCAGGTTTTTCTCAAAACTTTCATATTCGGTCATTTTCCGACAAAATTCTACTGGGGGACTAACTTGATTCTCAGCCCCCCCCAAAATTTTGGAAATCAGATTAAACAAAATTGAATTCTTATCTAATCTGAAGTGTGCTGAACTGTGCTACATCGGTTTTTTCTCAAAATTTCCATATTCCGTCATTTTCCGAGAAAATCCTATTGGGGGACTAACTTGAAGCTTAGCCCCCCCAAAATTTTGGAAATCAGATTAAACAAAATTGAATTTTTATCTAATCTGAAGTGTGCTGAACTGTGCTGTATCAGGTTTTTCTCAAATTTTCCATATTCGATCATTTTCCGACAAAAAAATAAGAGGGGGCAGTTGATGCAAATTTTAGGGGCCACAACGCGTGCGGGATTGTAAGCGTTTCGCTTTCGAGGAAACTTTGCTTGAGGTTGGGAGTTGAGACGGTTGGAGAAGAAGATTCAAGAATATTACACACTAAACAGGATAGCCTATCCTCATAAGGCCTCTGTAGATCAAATCTCAAGCCCCCCACCGCGCCAAGGATCCAGAGAACCAGTGATAACGTAGGCAGCGTGTCGTTTCTCGCCTTGAAGTAGGGTGTTTGCACCACAGACTATGATTCCGCAGGCTTTTGGCTTATGCATACTTGGTTTTAGTACATTAATCAGCAATCTAATACAACTCCTTTTCAGATCTCGTTTACATCTTCCTCTTTGCCTATTATGTTAATTAAAATTAAATATTATTTCTCTTCTTAAATGTATATTCTAAACTACGACCGCTGACGCAAGCAGTTAACGACACTGTTGATGACGTCGGTAACGGTGCAACATCATGGTCTTGATTCCAAAAATCGAGTCCGATGCGCAGACTTGTAGTAGTGTTTGACATCCTTGAGGGAGATTATGCAGCATTGAGTTCGTGGGCTGTCTATCGCCAACGTGCGTGTCAGAGTCGGATAATTTCTCAATTTCTCCGAGAGAAACCGTATTTGCACAAACAGGATTGCGCTGTTGCTAAATCCTATTTTTTTTTTTTGTTAAATGCGGTTTTACACGGAGAAAACACCTAGTAATTCGGAGCCCGGAGACCATAGCCGCTTTCCAGCTGTGTGCTTTAAGCACGGTGTAGCACAGTGTTCTGTGTTTGAAACGCAAAAGTTAGCAGCTCTCGAAGCGCAGGACGGCTGGAACACGAACATGCGCTTGAAGCATTTGCGCGCGCAAAAGCTCGATTGCGTGCTCAAAAGCGTCAGCTGTATATGTAAAAACCCGTAGACTCCGGGTGAAACCCAGAGAGGTGGCAACCCTACTCTTAAGTCGTTCGGGTACAACCAGTTAGAGCAAATCTTGACTCCGTATCGTTCGGGTGTGTTAGAGCAGCTTTTAAAGAGTTAACCCTACAAACCCTGCCTTGAGAAATGCTGGTCGTAGTGCAGGCATGCGCAGTGCGATAAAAAACTGATCTGATAGTTCTTTTTTCGTTATCTTTGAAAAAACAGTAAATCACTAGGAAAATTATTATAATTTCGTAAAATCTGGTAAAATTTAATTAACAGGAATGTATGTAAATTCTCAGAGCTGAGGCCAAGTTGGCTACGTAGGATTTTGTCGGAAAATAACCGAATAAGTATGTAAATTTTGAGAAAGCCTGATACAGCAGAGTTCAGTACACTTCAGATTGGGAGAGAATTCAATTTTCTTTCATCCAATTTCCAAAATTTTGGGAGGGCTGAGCGTCAAGTTAGCCCCCCAGTAGGATTTTGTCGGAAAATGACCGAGTATGGAAATTTTGAGAAAAACCTGATACAGCACAGTTCAGCACACTTCAGAATGGATAAGAATTCAATTTTGTTTAATCTGATTTCCAAAATTTTGGGGGGGCTGAGCGTCAAGTTAGCCCCTCATCTATTTTTTCCTATAACTTTGTTATCGAAACGGCACAGTTCAAAATATCATCGGCACAGTAAAGCACACTTCGAGCACAGTAAATGGTTGTAACTTTTTTAGAAAATTCGAATGTGGGGGGGGGGTTAACTTGACGGAGCCCGTTATTATAGGTTTTTTTCAGAACGTAAATATAGGTTATGTGATGAGATGGGTTTTAAATCATCTATACCACCTTTTCTTATAAATTTACACATCGGTGGGTAAATTAAACACGCTGATAAAAATATATGGAAATTATATTTTTACTCAGCTGCATTTAAAAAGCAATTGGTGCAAACCTCAAAGATGTATAGGTATGTTTTTCAATTTTTTCAGGTGGTCCTCCTCTCTTGCCAAAAGATGACCAAATATTCGCAACAAACTCTTCCGTTATTACAGTAAACTTGAAAAACTGGCCTGATGGTGGATGCATCATTACACAATTTTCTTTGGAATATAAAGCATATGCTGATCCAAGTTGGCGTCTTATTGCGAATAGTGTCTCCGAAGATCAAATAGTCATTCAAAATTTACTTCCTGGAATCTGGTATCAACTTAAAGTATCAGCGCAGAATGATGCTGGAATTGTTAATGGGGTTTTCAACGTTGCAACTTTAAAAATTGATGGAAGTAAGTGAACAGTTTTCTTTGTTTTTGGGCTAGTTTTACTATGATTTTAATTCATACTTTATATCTAGCGAGGTCTTCAATAAGAATGATATGATTTTAAAACGACGTGGTGCATGGTAACAAAGTTATAGATACCTGTCCCTAGTTGTCATTTATTATGTTCAGTATACTCTGACCATTTATTATGGCTAAATAGGTGCCTCAGTCAAGAACGTTTGTTTATTATCCAAACATTTTAGGAAAATAAAGGTCCTTTTGTGAACACTTATCGCATACCTACTTCGCGAAAACTTTAGTCTAGTCTAAACAATCTTCCATCTTTGCTTGCTATTCATCCGATCGTTAAAAAAAAATGTTACTGTTCCCGATGTAAAAAACCCAGACGTCGAAATGCCATAACTGCTTATAATATTGCTGTAAGTGCTAGTGTTGCAGGTTGCAGAGGATACAAAGTTATTAATAATTGATACTTGATTTTAAGCCCTAAATCTCTAGCAATACCAGAAATTATTTCTAGTATTGTTCAAGATTTAGGGTTCAAAACACGAAAACTTGGCAGATTTTGCAAAAAGACTCAAATTTACACAAGAACTTAAGCCACTGGACCATCGTCCGAGCCGAGAATTTGCTGTTCGGAGTTTAGAACAACTTGAAAGGGATCTAAATTTTGTGAAAAAATATTTTTTCTCAAATGAAGGTAATTTTTGGTTAAGTGGATATGTTTACAAGCAAAATTGCCGTTTTTTTTATTTATGTGAGAAGTATCTGCTACAGATTCACAAGAAGCCTTTGTATCCGCTTCAGCTAACTGGAGTGGTTTATGGCGGTGACATCATCGAACCAAAATGAGGTAAGAAATGCAATTACAGTGAATGGTGATACCGACAGGAAATTTTGTGGCTAAATTTAGATACTTGATTTGAAGGATATGTGGTTCCAGTAAGACGGTGCCACATGTCACACTGCCCACGAAACTATCGCATTTTGCATGAGGTCACTAATGATCCTATCATGCTTACCCCTAATGATGACTGTGAGGTCGTCAGCATATCCTAGGACTGTGATCCCTTGGGCTCTTAGTGCGTTAAGAAGTTCATCTACTACCAGTGATCACAACATTGGGGACAATACCCCCCACCCTTGGGGGCATTCCTTGACTGCTGAGACCGTTGCAGAGTCACTTCCCTGGTTGCTTTGATTTTCCCATTCTCGAGCATGGTTTCAATCCATGGAATTGTAGTTTCATCAAGGCCCTTATTTCTAGCCGCTCTTCCTATGAATTCATGTGAGGTGTTATCGAAGGCTCCCTCTATAACAATGCATTCATTGTTATAGAGCGGTTTCTTGATTAGAGTGTGCCTTTTCAATCTTACTGACTATATAGGGCTGTCTCAGTTGATTTACCTGGCTGATAGGCAAATTGATTCTTTTGGAGCGGGCTTTATATTAGAAATTCACTTCTGATGTGAAGGTCGATAATTTTCTCCATGGTTTTCGGGAGAAAGGAGGTTAGGCTAATTGGTCATTAAATGACTTAGGAAGTTGTGTAGGACGCCTACCAGCATTTGCAATGAAGACCACATTCACTTCCCGCCAACTGGTGGGAATGTAGCCTAGTAGAGAGCTAGCTTTGAACATTTTTGTTAAATGTGGTGCTAGTTCTTCCAGGCCTTGTTTTAATAGGACGGAAAAGATCCCATCTTCACCTGGTGATTTATAGGGCTGGAAGCTGTTTATAGCCCATTTGATCTTATTTTCAGTGAATATCTTTCCGGCTAGGCTTTCAATGCGGTTGGTCAGTTGCGAAACGCCTTTTACCACCACAGCCCTTTCCCCATCAGGTTTCCACTCGATAGACTCTGGGAAGTGCTTTTGCAGAAGCAGTCTTACACTATCTAGTCTACTTTCGGTATAGCTACCATCAGATCTCTGAAGGAGCCCGATATTGTTTGAGTGATCTTTCGCTAGGATTTTCTGGAGGCGCATTTTCTGAGGGACGTCGATCATCTCCTCGCAGAATCTCCTCCAGGATTCTCTTTTAGATCTCCTCAATTCTTTGTTGTATTTTGTTAGGGCTTGTTTGTATTCGCTCCAGTCGTTTGTGCGTTTAGCCCTATTGAATAATTTTCTTGTCTCAGTCCTTGAGGAGCTGACTGTCTTGTTCCACCAGGGCGTATTCCTATTCACTACCCGTTGCTTCACAGGACAACTATTCTCAAACGTTGTAAATATGAGATACTTTATTTCTTTAGAATAGAATTCTAGATCGCCTTCCTTCTCGATAACGTTAGGGAGATCGGCTGTCGGATTCCATTCTACGAGTCGAGTCGAAATTCGTATCGAATTGTTAAAATAGCGATTCTATTTTTCGATTTTTCGATACGTATTCCACGGTACGTCCGGAGCTGTCGTATTCGATATCGAGTGTCATAACAGACAATTCGACTCGACTCGTAAAATAGAATTCGGGCCCAGTACTCTCCGTTCTAAATAGGTCTTTATACAGACCCCAGTCGGTAAGTTCTGGGTTTCTATAAATTAAGAAGGCATTTTTCTGTGGCCTCTATGTCGGACGACAAACACATCAGGTTCGATGATGTGTTTGTGGTCCGACATCGAGGTTTCATCAGAAACATGCCAGCCCTTTATACGGTTGCCTAGTTGTGCTGGCGAGGGTTAAATCCAACACCTCTTGCCGCAAGCTATTCGCAAAGGTGGGTTTGTTACCTTCATTTATAATGTCTATGTCATACGAGATCAAATATTCAATAAGGTACTCACCTCTTTTGTTAATGTTTGTGCTGCCCCATACAGTGTGGTGAGCATTGGCATTACACCCAATTATTATCTGTTTGTTCCTGGTTTTGCAGTAGCTAATGAGTCGTTTAACGTCCTCTGGAGGTGGATTTGTTTTGTAGGGAAGTAAGCCGAGGCAATGACTACCTCTTGCCTTCCTCCCGGCGTTGATACCTCTATTGCTCCAGCAACCAGATCTTTGATAATGAATTCTGGAAAAGGAACAAAGTTGATTTTATTGTTGCTCTGCTCTAGGATGTTCATGTTTATTATATATTAACTTACAATATTTTGTTGGAAGTCCTTTATATCTTGTTCCATGTACCCATGGTTTTTGAATAAGGACTATGTCCAGTTTTTAGTGAGTGAATCTGCGGCTAAACACATCAGATGCAGCTTCTGCGTGTTGCCGATTCACTCGGACGATTGTGCAAGGAGCCATTGCTTACTCCTTGCTAGGACCTCTGGGTCTTTATAGTTTTTTTGCCCCCTTTTTCAAGGGTTTCTTCCCTATTGGGGTTTTACCTTTCCCTAGGGGGGGGGGCAGAATTACCTGATCCAGCAGCAGAGCCAGGCTCTGAAGGTTTCCCTATATTGCCTGATGGGGCCTTCTTCTGGGACCTTCTCCCCGGTCTCAGAGTCCGTTTGCTGACCCGGTAGACGACCTCAAAGTAAGTCCTTTTCAGGTGTTCGTAGGACCCTTGGTCTACGGATGGGGTTAGAAGGGCGGAGGACCCTTCGGCCACTCTGTTGAGAACTCTCCAGTCCTCTGTGCTTAGCCCAGTGTTTTGGCCTTTTACTAGGCCACGGATTTTGTTGGTTGGGCTCTCGGCACTGTTAGGGAAGTGACCCACAAGGATTTGTGGGCGAGGAATTTTGGATTCCTCTATCGCCCTCAGTTCTGCGCCTTTCCATGGGCTTAGGGCTTCGATTTTGGCGAAGAGCCACTTTGAAGTGGCTTCATCCTCGCAAGTGAGCACCATGAAGCCTGATTTGAATGTGGAGGATAGAAATTTGGGTTTTGCTACCCCATTCTTTTCCTTCAAGATATTTTCTAAGATGGCAGCTTTTACAGGTTCAAGCTGCTGAGTGCTAAGCTGCACATCCGGAAATTTTTTATGCAAAATGCCAACCTTAATTCCTTGAACCGCTTGTTTGTACGCGGCTATGGAGGTCTTAGGGTTTGGGGCCGCTACGGGTTCCCCTGTGGCATTTTTGGATTTTTTGGCTGCTGTCCCTGGGGTTGAGCCGTCGGATCGGATCCTTTTTTCGGCTCCTGTTTCCGGCCGCTCCTTCCATTCAATTGGCTTTTTCGCCAACTGACACGTTTTTTCGGCGGTGTGGCCTTGTCGCATTAGCCACTTGTAACATTTTCTCGCAGCTCCACTTAAGCTCCTTTCTTTCAGTTTCAAGTGATTAACTGACTTTGGAAGCGTCTTGGGGATGGAGTCCTCACTCTCGCTCGAGAAACGTTCGTCATTCACAGGCATAGTGGGGCTTTTTGGTGAGCCCCTTACCATGCCTGCTTCACACGTGACGTTGGAGACATTGTTGTCTCCTTGAGTTTTAAGGGCATTACTGTCCTCTGGTGGTTGAAGGATATTTCTATCCTCAGGGTGGTTTTTATTTTCAGGTTCCATATTTGCTCCCACGAATAATAAGGGAATTGAAATTGGCCTGCAGCAGAGCCCTATACTGCAGGGGCGTATTTAAACCTGGAGATTGCCTGATCCCCGGAGTTCGCAAACTAGTGGCCAAGCTACCCCTTGATTATGCAGTCGTCGGCGCTTGCTGTTCCACTTTGACTTGGGAAGATTATGTATTGTGGCTCTCGTATCACTTAGTCCGGGCGGTTAAGCCAAGACTGGCCGCATGGATGTCTGCGAGACATGACCACGATCAACATCCATGCATGGTATATCAGTTTGAAGGCAATTGAGGTTGCCCAACAAGCTGGTATAGTTTTGCTTCAGTGTAGGCCCTTAACTACGACACGACAGTTGGGCTGCGCTTGAGTCATCCTTAGCTTCACCCGCTGGCAACGATCCATTGAGAAGGATCGGGGTCAGTAGATTACTAAGCCCCCTTACCAGCGACAAGGTCCCATGACTCCACAAGGGGGACTTGCTGTAGTAAGATTGAACATTGAACGATTTATTGCACAAAGTTATCGAAAATCGGGTTCGTCAAATTTGCTCCTGTAG